GTCAAACGTTGGCCCAGTGTCATCATCGATCGAGCATTTTCAATTCCGAATTTCCCACATGGCGCACCGTTCCACAACTGATTATCCTGTGAGGATTCTCTACTAACACTTGAGCAGCATCGGCCCGAAAATTGCACGACCGATCGGGTTCATTTATCGGTCGGTCGGATAGTTCAGCCACAACAAAGGATCTGGTGCTTGCCCCTTTCCGTAGTATATGATATCAGGCACCATGTTGCGTCATCACGACATGAGTGAGGTCACATTTTCGCGCTGTACTGCGCCAGGTACTGTCTACATGACAACACGACATCTAAAATTGATATTCGGACATCTTAAATTGAAAAAAAGTATAGTGTTGTTGTTGCTGCTGAAATTAAAATATCTGATTCTCCTCGGTAATTTTCCAGGCGACAGCTCCTGTTATCCATTCATTTATCCTTGTCATGGGAAATATATTTAATAATAATGCGTTGTTTCTATTCCGGATATTTGTTTCTCCCTCCCATTTTATTTGAATCATGGTACATTATTCAGCCACAGTTCCGTGCACTTCCGGTTTAGAACCTTCTATTTTATTCATGCTTTATTCGGCAACAGCACAATTGCTGCCCCACGTGGAATACGCCCACGTAAAGCAATGTAACTTGATCGGAGCGATCGATTGAACAGCCACCGCTTTCTCACAGTCCTGATTCGATCAGTGATTGGCTGATTAAAATGTGTCGTCAAACCCCCGTCACGAGCTCTGTACACAGAAATAACAAAAAATGCCATTCGATCAGTCTCCTTTCGTCATAACTGTCTGCTTTTTAGACATAATCCCTAGTGCGTTAGATATTCGTGAATCGCTGAATACTCGAGTTTCGTTCTCCTTAAGGCTCATCAATAGTGCACATCCCCCAAACCGTGTGGAATTCGCACTCTAGAACTCTTTCGTGGGATCCATGAGGGCTACCACTCCCATACTAAATAGCTCACACCAGATCTCATCAGCACTACCCGTTCTGGTTTGTTTAATCACTATTTTAAATGAAATTGATTCAGCTAATTTGATGCAACAGAAACAGAGATACAACATTTTCCCTTGTAACTCCAATCGAAAGCTTTCCATCAAAGCAAGTATTTCTAGTGGTCCAGATTAACGGGTTCAGTTAAATCTGCTAAATTTTCAGATACCTGTACCTAATCATTCATTCATTCATGCTTAAATGTCAGTCGTTTCCTGCGTGAAACAAGTAGCGGAATGTAAGTTCATTTTATGATAGCGACTAAGAATTGTTCAGAGCTAATTATTAAATTGTTTGTATATACCTTCGGATAACTTTGATTGATCAAATGCCAGGTGAATTTACTATGTACCGCATTTGACGGAAACCATTCCAATCCAATCGAATCACAGAACTTTTTGTATATCTGGCGCCGCGGCCAGTACAACTGAATTATAGAGCAACCACAGAGTATTGCACAGTTCTGACAAGAGAATACAATACACTCGAAAATTAGAACGATGGTTACAAAGTTTTTGGTCATAGTTGTGCGCCCACGCGCTCAGATGTCTCTCCCAACACCCCACCGGAAAACTCAACCACAACTGACCATTCTCTCCGATTGCGTTGCACCACCGAATCTGTATGTGGCCAAATGTTCACTTCGAACTGGATTTTACTGCTGAGGGGGGAAGGAGTGATTAACTGAGGGATAGGAAGACAGAAAAAGAGTTTCACTGTGCCAAGTGCCTGCTTCACTTCCGGTCATTTTCTTTCCCTGTCTCTATGGCTCCCCCTGCATTATAGTTTCATAGCCGGACTGTAATCAGGCGATCAACAATCCAAATCGACAGAACAGTCAGTTGCGGTAAACTAAGCCAGTGCATGAAGTGGTTTGTTAGATAGACGTCAAACGTCACTGAATGAAAAGACCTCAGAAAGCATCGATTCTAACCAACGGAATCCTGTGGTATTACTGTCATAGTGATGAGCACACCACAGAGAGAGAACGAGCTCTACTTGTACATACTTAGACACACATGCAAAACTGTTCCAGCACCCAACTTTCCGTTACCGTTGCTGACGTCTGTGGATGGTGGAGTAGAATACAATACATCTACCAGTTGTGTCAAACTCATCACACAGACAGAGATAGATAGATAGATAGATAGATAGATAGATAGATGATTTGTGACGATTTTAACTTTTCCTATGCCTATTCCCTAACCACTTTGGGTTTTCGAAACAATGTCACATTTACTCAGCTTCCTCGTCTACTTTGTGTAGAATGCTACTCTCCCATAGGGATGTTTCATCACTTTATGTTAAAATCTCCCCCTACCATTCTTTTGCAGAACCGACCACTGTCTCCGTTCTCAAAGTCGTCATTACAAGCTTCAAGACAGAGCGTTCTCCAGTGGACCTAATGAAGCTAAGAGAAACGATTGGTCACTCCGATCTTACTGGGTTTTTAGATTCTAACCTTTCTGTTTTTCGTGACCACATAACAAATTATCTAACATTTTGGTACGACCCTTACACAAGATTTATTTCTGCCCGATCGTTTCTCTCCCCCCTCCCGTCCCACTAAAAAATTCATCATAAAACAGAGCGCGGTTTCAGAATGTATAAGCAATTTGAAGTGTGAACCCTTTCTAAATCCATCAGAAGCGAACTTCACAGGTCCAACTCTATGCACGCTCGTGCTAGGCTAGATGACAAGTGTTAAGACCGTATTTCAACCGCGACGCTATGCACAGTCATTTAGGGCCCGTAATCCAACACCGAAAATCAGAACACAGAAAACAGCGTGCTGATCGGAATCGGGTTGGCGATTTAATGAGTGACCGTGAAAGTAAATCAATCGATTGAACGATGACCGACAATTAGGTCAAGCTGGCGCATGGAGAAAACGGATTGGATGAGTATTAGTCAGTGTCTGTCGTGAACACCTGTGTAATGTGATTGAACGATAAATGGGAACAGATAGACGAATGAGGACGTAGCAACAAGGAGATTCATGAAACCTGGCTAACCATCATACGGATTTCTGATATCGAATCCTCATACCGCGCAACTGCTGTGAATATAAGGGGTCTGAATCAGAGCTCCATAAATAACCAGGACCATGCACTTGTCTCGCCAAATGAAAGCAACACGGACATGACCAACCCGGTTGCCAGCGTTTCTCGTCTAGTGAGATTTTCTATGAACTGACCCAGCCAAATGTTTGCAATGCCTGTGGCTCCAATGGATTATCACCTTCAGTTCCAACGGTATGTGCTGCCTTCTTTTTCCCCGTATTGTATGAACTTTTCTATAACTGTATTTCACAGCAAAATAGTTCCAACTACTAGAGAACAACCCCAATCATCGGACTACCGAAGGAGTTCTCCAAAAAATTTCATTCCATTGCCTGAAACTCAGTTCTTTTGAAGGTGCTTCAGCGACACCTGATTAGAACCCTATTCACACGGTTGAATATTTTTGCATACACCCATTCCCCAGGATGTCCTTGCTTCTCTCCTCCACTTTGTTTTATCCAGCCATAATAAGATAGGGAATACTGTCCGCATATGTTTTCTAGATTATCCCAATACCTTCAACAATACAGACAGGCCAATATACTTTTTCTTCAGGCGGTGTTCAACCTCCTACGATTGAACTCTAGGTCAACTATCTGTCTTGCCGACAGCAGTTCACACGCTAGAAGGACCGTACATCTTCATTTCTACCTTCCTCACAAGGCGTATTACGAGGAGCATTTTAACCCCTTTTTCTAGGTAGCAATTAAATTTCTTCTATTTCTATGAGCAATTCTTTGCTTCTTATTTGGTTTTCGGATGACGTATTATTCGCATTACCCTACCCAAACTCATCATTTTTGACTGTACCATCAAATAAGATGAGAGAAAGTGCGGAGTAGTTTGGGCAAAGGAACCTCCGAATTAACCCTCAAAAATGTCGCGATGAAATTTTCTTCCTTTTTTAGGTCACAAATACCATAGAAATGCATCAGTCGTCACAACGCAATCTCAACAAGTCCTTTTCAGCTATAATCACATTCATGTCATGAATTTGGTATGGAACAAATGAAGCGTGGGCTGTACAGCTTTTACGACCTGGTTGGGTCTCATCAACAGTGCGAATCCGTCGACCCTACTGGGAATCGAACCCAGGACCTCAAGTATACCACCCACTTGATCACCAGGCAGCTTATCAGATCTTTTTCAACTTTTCCTATACACGATAAAGCACAGCCCGTCTTTTGGAGCTTGCTGTGGGAAGCATAATTCGCTTATCTGAGCACTAACCTCTTGAGTTTTGACTCGGTTGGAAACAGTCCAAACTTGACTACTTATTACACTAGAGTAGTTGAGGATTTGCTTCGATTGTAAAGTGAATTCCATGGTGCACAGAGTTAACGAAACAGGAAATCAAATCCTCCACTATTCAGATATCATCAAATTGATAAGACACAAATGGGGCATATTCACAGAAAACGAACAAGAAGATCATCGATCGATACTTGTACACAAGAAGCCCACAAGGTGAAAGAATCGAAGTAAGCACAATGCAATTCAATCGTCTGTTTGTACTGGCCTTTCGAAACCCGATAAAATATTGATTTTTATTCCGGTTTGTCAAGCTTTGAATAGAGATGAAGCGTAGAACGTGGGTATCATGGTCTAGAGAACTGTTCTACTGTAGTACATCGTTAAAGAATAAAACGAAATAATTGGTCTCGCCTACTACCACTTCGGTAATAACTAGTGGATACAATAATATTGCAGCTCAAGCATGGGTTGTACCAGTGGTAACCGCACCAAGCTGAAATCCCGGCAAAGCATTCATGGTTCCGAGTGAAGTTGACTCCTTTCACTAACCTGTGATTGCAATTTTCGCCGACCACTGACTTGCTCCGGCCAGAATGCTTTTCTCCACAAACTCCAACGCACTTGTATGCTGTTTGGAGTTTACATCCGTTTGAAAGACACTGGCAACAAATTGGAACAAGTCCGGTCGTTCGGCCAGCCGACGTTGAATCAGGGCTCGAATGGCGCCCATGGCGGCCTGGGCTTTGTCAACTGCACCATGACGCATGGATTTCTCAGCTGCTCCTGTGAGGATAGAATGATTGAGGAAACACAACTGCTTAAAATGCAAGAAATGATCGGGCCAAATATACTAAATAAACGAAATCTGATGTAATTTGACAACTTTATTGAGTGTGAAATTCATGCCCCAATCCTTCTCCCCTAAGGGATCACAATCCAATGTAAATTATCACCAGCCAGAAGACCAATGCATAGACATGTTCAACTGTTAAAGCTGTTGTTAAGCTAAAACTACTAAGTTCACTCTGTGAAAGTAATAAAATCGAACAAAGTCGAAACGTGAAGAAATCTCTTTTCGACATATCGCTTCAAACATTCACATAGTTCGATAGTTCGATTAGTCAGTAGAATAAAACAAGGCCTAAGTTGATGTTGAATGAATGTCTGTGTGCGGAATCGGTAGCAATTAGGATCATGAAGCCGGAGTTGTGCAAGCAACTTAATCTGGTTTAAGCGCTACCGTTACCATGGCCATAAGAACAATTGCTCATATCTCTATGTGACAGTTTCTATTCTCTCCCTCTCCCCACTCCTTATTTACTTTTCTGCATGCTTCCACACCTGTTTTTTTTATTCTTGACTAACACCTTTCACATCGTGTCCAGCGGACACATTTTTCACCTGGCTATTCCCAATCCAATTATCTTGACCCCAGAGCCTGTTGTAACCCAAAAATTTTGTTCAAAGATATTCATTCAACATCAACCTAGGCCTCGTATTATTCTACTGACTAATCGAACTATACACATAAGTGTCGGAAGCGATATATCGAAAAGAATTTTCTTTGCGCTTTGACTTTGTTCTTATGTATCAATGGGAATAATTTGCGCTAATGAAATCGAGTTTATCCGATGAGTCATAGAACGTGGAGTGCGATCCTCAAGAACTCACTACATTAAGTGCTAACCTTCTTTCCGCTGCAAACACACGTTAAAGAACATTCTTCGGTTATGAACCGAACCAAAAAATGGATGATATGTTTGTCCAACTGGAGACCTTCCTGAGATTTTACAAAGCCCTCCGTCCCTCCCGAAAAACGGATGAGCACACAGCGTCGGCAAATCACTGCATTGTGCAAGAAAACAAGCAACTAGAAAGAGATGAACATTGACCCTGCCTTCCCGCTTACACACACCTCGTTGGGGTCGCGAATGGACAACATGTGTGTTTGTCCCGGTTACGACGCGCTGCTCTCATTCAAAACTCCATAAACTTGATTCTAGCCCACAAATGATTGCGAAAAGGTTTCGCCTCACTGCTTAACCGAGGTTTGTAGTCTGTCACGCACAAGCGGAAAGCTCCCTCTCTCACACTGCAGGCCGAATGAGTCCGCATACGGATAGGCATCGAAACTTACCTCTATGTGGGATCAATACATCCCGGGACAAACGGGACATAGGACATCAGTACTGAGGGAGAAAACTCAATTTTATTGGAGGGTTACTGCAAAGATGTGAAAACAATACGCATACATAGTTCATCACCGTTTCAGACATCCGATGTATTGGGGGATCTAACATCGATTTTGCTAATCTATTTTAAGTTCGAGTAACTAACTTCTCGTTATGAATAAAAGGAATCTAATGATATACAGTTCTGAAAGACTATTTCCTCGAAAGTTTTAATTATCTGTGGGAAATTAGTTTAAAATTTGTGAAAAATCAAACAGAGTCGTCTCATAATCCCGTAATTTCAGTGTTCTGAATAGGTGATCTGTTATTTATCCACTCGGTCACCATCAGAACCGAAGGTTTGAAAACGTCACACGTATAATAAAGATATAATGAAATTTAGCTAATCAGCTTATGAAAAATATGGTTTGCCTTATTTCGATCTCATCTCGATTAGAGTAGACACATGTAGTGTTTGATAATTCATCCTCCACAAGTTCGATGTTACAGAAACTGCTGACGGAACGAAGCAGTCTCGCTTGAGCTGTATGCGAAGCTTGAATGATTAATTTGAACTGTTATTTCACATCCCACCAATTGCGACCCCCCATCACCCACCCTAGGTCCATCGGTTGATGTAGTTCATTCTCCGGACCAGTTCTGTCATTCGGACTTCACGCACGCAAACCAGCTTCAGAATGGAGACCGAAACGATTCACGAGGTGATGCCTATGATAGCATTTGAGACGAGCAAAAAGTTAATTTTTCCTCCGATCAGTTCAGTCGATGAGGAATGGATGCAACACACAAACACACATACACAGACCTGTATGCGTTTGCACTCATTACCAACCTTTCACGCCTAGCTCAGTTCCCGGGAAAAAGGAAATGTTGTTGTTGGTGGTAGTGAAAAATGTGTATCACCCAAAGGAAATGTGCTCCGTATTGCCTGTCTTCGATTAGACCACGTCGATAAGCCGTTTTCTACTCGTTCACACAATCAGTCAGACAGAGATAACCCGGATGGCAGAATAGACCACTCTCAATCAACTTTCATCTGTGGGTTATGCATAAAGACTGCAATGATGCAGTGATGCGATGTGCTACCACCTTTGTACAAAACAGTTCCAGAACTGTGGAGATCCTTGTAACAATGTGTTTCGTTCTTCCCACTGCTTTTTTGTTTTTCGTCGAGCAACTTCAGGAGGAGGGCAATTTAATAACAAACCGTTATTTGATAACAATGGATCCTACTAATGTGCTGCTGTGAACGAGCGAAGGAAACAAAACATTGACCGTAACACATTAGTTTTATTCACTGCAAATCGATTATTTCTCTGGAAAACTTGATTACCAAAAGAATGAGAATAAGAGGAAAGGACAGACGAGTGAATGGATGGACCGATGTTTTACCAAACCATCAAAGCCCCCCCCCCGTCCTCTTGCTACACACACACACACTCACTTTGCAGACAATCCGCATTGAGTAGTCGTTTGCATTTGTCGTGGCATTTGACCCCACATTCGGTACACCGGAGCCCTTGGCGAGCCACACCCCACAACAGTCCCTCGCACTCGTAGCAATACGTGGGACTGGTTGCGGTGAATAGTTGAAAGTTGTGCGGGGTATTGCTTGAAATGGGATATGCCAGTGCTTGGATGGTTTTGCGATACACGTGCAACTTCTCGACATCCGGAGTGGATCACAAAGCAGAAATGTAGAACAAATAAATGATTACCTGTTGAAACTGAGCCATTTGAAAATTTGCTAGCATTTACCAAACATTAGACAATGGTGTGACTATTATGAGAATAGTGCCGTGACATACGTAATAAATAATACAGCCAGTAATGGGTGACAGGAAAATAGAATTTCGTTATTTCGGCACTTGTGTGTAGGGGGGAGTGGATTGCTGTTGCTATTATTGGGCTATCCATCAGACTTCATCTTTACACGCAATCCTCAGTTCATCCAGTCAACCGTCATGCAAGATAAGATCTGAACAAACATGAATCGATAACTTCGGTCAACTCCGATGTGAGGTGGTTCGCGCAGTGGAAGTATGTACATCTTTCATGAGAGTGCGAGAGAAACGTGATCCGAATCCTTGATGAACCGGTGAATATACGACATCGGTGAGTTCCAATGACAGTGAAGTTCACGTTTACGACCTACTCAATTGCACACTTGTTTGGATGAATGACGGAGTTTGTGTGAGTCTGGAAGAAGTCTGAAAAATCTCGGTGTGTAATAAATAACAAAATAAAAACTGGCCTCATTGCTTGCCCTGATTCGTTTCTCCGTGCAGAACACCGCACAATAGAATTCACGATTAAACACAGCAGCAGCCGCAACAGCACCGGAAGTTGTTTGCTTTATCACGAAACACTCAAAAATCTGACGCCCATCATTCTGTTTCGTCAAAAGTGCAGTACCCAAAACAGCAGTTGGAAATAAGTATCATATTCTGCATTTTACTGCCCCGTTTTCCGTTCGCCAGGTGTTTTTGAGTTGCATTGACAGGCAAATGATTTTATCTGATAAGCTATCATATTAATTGGGAAAACGGTTCGTCAGCAAACAATTATTTTCACCGATTTCTCACCATGTTATGGAAAATGATCGAGTCCAAAATGCTTTCGCAATGACAGCAATTGGGTAGGTTTAAGATTCTTTACTGGAGGCAGAGAAGTCGACGCAGGTGTGTGTGTGCGTATGATTGGCTAGTCTATTACTTGATGCAAACTTTGTCAATCGTGGTACCCGCATTGTCAAAAATATCACCTTGGAAGCAAATGCGTCCAAGACCAAAGCCAAATGGACAGCACAGTGGTGTAGTCGCTATCACCATCATGCTTTGGATCCTTGGGCTGTGGTTAGAGCCCCTGCCACCGCCATCCAACTTTGGTGGTAGGCAGCTTTGCTTTCGTCCGGTTCAATACCACGCCTAACCTAGCAGGGCCTTGTGTCCAGGGGCTTAGATTACCAGTGTCAATCACTGAACAGCGGGTCCTTGTGAGTTTAGGGCTTTCCCCGTCTGCTGTTCATCACACTAAGCTGTGTAATAAAAAAACGAAGACTGTCGATGGCGGACCAATAGAATTCGTCAAGGCTTTGAATTTCCTTATCTCGGCCATCTGACCAATCCGCCAAAAGCGAAATTCAGCTATGCTTCGATGTCTCTGGGACGAATTTCCTGTAACTCAGGTAACTACCGTGAATAAGTAACAAAATCAGCCCCCGCATCCAAGTGCAAATCGATCGAGCTGCCTTACGTCCTATCCTAAACTATGTCTGTGAGGTGTAACAAGTAAGAACCCAAGATCTGGAAGGACTTGAGGTTCCCGATCACTAGTGCCTGGAGAAAAGTGGCAAGACCATTTATCTCACGAGGCAGTTTGCCGGAGTTTCTGGTCCATCTCAAGGCTTTCTAACCAGATGCAGTACCGTCAGTTCTAATGATTTGGTCTCATTCTCCGGTTTGACGCCACGGAGGGCCAAAAAAGAACTCTCTTCCGATAACCGCGATCGGGATGGTCCCCTTGTCTCAATGCTAAACTAACCACCTGGATCATCACAGGCAAAGAAGAGATGGAGTACCAGGGTCTGAAGGCTTTGTGTGGCCGCCGAAGCTGGAATCAGAAGTGAATTATACTCTGCACCGACCTTGCCGCTGCTGGACATGAGTAGTCATCGTCAGAGACACCGGCGAAACCAACTTATCCCCACACCGGAGTTCGTTGCAAAAAATTATAAACGCCCAATTAGTCCGTGTGACCTCGTCACCTACGCCACCGCAAGCCATTGATTGCTGGTCTGTCCGACATAGGCATCCCGTCTTCTTTTTCTACAAGCTTTTGGCCAGTTAGCTTACGTGACGTGTCATCATAACGCACTTCCAACAACGAATTTTGCACGCATGGTCGTTTTCGGTACCGACAGGTGCTTGGTCTAAACATTGTTTATAGTGTACTGTTCGGGAAACGCCACGGACCGTTTACACACACACAGACAGAGACACGTGTTTATTCTAACAGTAGACCTCACTACACGGAACTGGCATACAACCGTGTTGGCCATTCTGGAACGGTAGATGCCTGTCTCGCTCGCTTCTCCTCCCAGGTCGAGAAATAATAGTCCA